GCTCAGTGGGTAGGGTGCTTGGGGCTCAGTGGGTAGGGTGCTTGGGGCTCAGTTGCTACACACAAGACCCTGGGTTCCATCCCCAATGCTAAATGAACCGTATGTGGTTCACGGCGATAACCCTAGCGCTGAGGAGGTGGAAGGAATCAGGAGGGTCAGAATTTCAAGGCTAGCCTGGGCTACACGACACTGTCTTCAGCGAGAAAATCAGTCACCTTGGGGCTGGCCATGTTGGGAGGCCTCCTGAGAAGTGGCGTGTTCTCTTCCGCCCAGACCCTGCACTAAATGGGTCCCCTTGTATGTCTGCTAGTCCAGAGAGGAGTGGACACCTGCCTGGGACTGCTGTGCAGGGCAGGCCCGGGGGGTGGATCCCCCTGCTCGCTCCTGCCAGCTCTCCACACCCCGCCTGTCCCCCACGAAGGCAGAGAGGTCACTGCTGCCGTCTGGGGGTATCTAAGAGGTGGGCTCAGCCTCAGCATGGCTGCTGGGGAGGGCGTGACAGGCTGGTTGACCGCAGGAACCCTGGGCTTGTTTGTGGAGCAGGTGTGGGCTCTGGGGTGAAGGTGGGAAGGGAGAGCCAGTCCACAAAGCTGTCCCCTGACTCCGCACAGTCACGACTCACTAGTCCGTCAGCATGCTCGAGCCCAAGGTCCCCGCCCGCTCTCCCCTCACCACCTCTCTGGAAATGTTTAGATGAGACAGGGTCTCAGTGTGTAACCCTGGCTGGCCTGGAACTCATAGGGATTAGACTCCCTCAAGGCATGCACCACCATGTGTAGATGTAACCAACCGTCTTATTAAATAAGAAACACAGAACCAATGTAAAAGAGAAAGCCGAGAGGTCAGAGCTCAGAGCTAAAATCTCACCCTTCCTCCTGCGGTGCTCTCTTTCGGAGAGCTACTTCCTGTGTGTTTGTCTTTATATAGTCTTTCTGTTCTGCCTTCTCATTGGTTGTAAACCCAAACACGTGACTGCCTCGTCACTGTCTGTAAGTACAGCCCTCCAGGTCTTAAAGGCTTATGTCTCCAATGCTGGCTATATCCCTGAACACACAGAGATCTACCTAGCTCTTCTACCAAGTGCTGGGATTAAAGGCGTGTGCCACCACCGCCATGCTCTTGCTATGGCTCTAATAGCTCTGACCCCTGGGCAACTTTATTTATTAACATACAACTAAAGTCACATTTCAGTACAAATAGAATACCACCATAACCATGCCCAACTTGCTTTTCTTTTTTAAAAGACAGACAGGTCTCTTGTAGCCCAGGCTGGCCTCGAGCCTATGTAGTTGAGAATGGCCTTGAACTCCTAGTCTTCTTTCCGCCTCCACCTGCAGAGTGCTGGGTTGACAGGTCTGTGCCTGAGCTCAGGGCCTCCTGTGTGGCAGGCAGACGCTCTGCCCACTGAGCAGCCCACCTTAATTCCACCAACAGCGTCCTGTGAGAGCTGGAGCTCCCTGCCTTGCTGGCTGCCCAGTGCTGTCGGCCAGAGCCCCTCCCCCACCTTCCCAGGGTCACTCCTGGCTCCTCCTCCCCTCCAGTGCTGGCTAGGTACAGGGTGACGGGTTTGGGAGATACAGCTATTTGATTGGAGATCGGTGGGTGGGCTTGCACATGAGAGCTGTGAATCGTGGGTGGGGAACACCGTGCGGCATGGAAGTGCTCCTCATCCGGCTGGGGGACCTCCAGGAAGCTCCTCTGGAAAAAGTATGGATTGAGATAAACAAGGGGCTGGAGCGTGCTGGACAGAGCCTTCAGCGGGCATGCATGAAGTCCTGGGTCAACCCCCAGCACCACATAAACGGTATGGCAGCTAAGTGGAGGCAGGAGGATCATCTGCTCCTACATAGCCTTAAGGACCAGCACTCAGGAGGCAGAGGCAGGCAGTTCTCTGTGAGTTTGAGGCCAGCCTGGGCTACATAATTCCAGCCCACCTTCATAGTGAGACCTTATCTTTGAAAACATACTGATAATCCAAGCACCACAGGAATGGAGACGGGACTGTTGGGTGTTGGTGGCCATCAGCCTAATTGCAGTTTCAGTAAGAGATTGTCCTCCAACTTCCTCCTCTGGCTTCACATTGCACACAATCCCCTGCCAATTAGTGCTCCAAAGTATCTGGGAGCTTGCCTGATAGATTCACAATGCGGTTGGGCATGGTTGCGCAAGCCCGGATCTAGACACTTCCGCCTAGCCATTTCTGGGTAAAAATAGCCATTCCCAGGTCAAAACGTCTCGTGTGACCAGGACCCCATGGCTTTGTGTGGTTGCGTAAAGCATGCAGTGCAACCATGTGATCTACGTGCATGCGTGGTGCGTGGAGTGTGCGCAGGCGCAGCCCAGCCTTTATAAGCTGGTGCTATATTTCCCGACTCTCTTTATGCACCTGTCTTTCCGCAGGCCTGAGCACATCTGTCTCTCTCTCTCATCTTAATCCAAATAACTAACATTGCCCCAGAAAACAACCCGGCCCACTTTCCAAAGGGAAGACACTTGGTTGAAGGTTAGGCCCCGAATGTCTGAAGGGCAATGCCGAGCTGTAGGTGTAACCGTCTTTTTATTTATTTATTTATTTGTTTGTTTATTTATTTATTTATTTATTTATTTTTCCATCACAGGCAATTTATTTTGTTCTATTCATTCACAGTTAATAAAGAAAATACTTGGAAACATTTCCATATAATGTTTGACACAGAAATCATCAAATAGAAGTATACAATGTTGACAGGAGGCAGTACATTTATAATTTATAACCCCAA